TCTCAAAGTAATTCTTAAAGTAATTTGCAGTAGTCATCTTGACTACTGTAATTCAGAGTAAACACGCAATTTTGGGTCTGATATTCTAGAAAGTTAAAATAAAACCGTGAACAGAGTTTTAACAAAATTCTTCAGTCTTCTCTTTGAGTGAAGGGAGAACTGAAGGAAAGAAGTGATAATTCCTTACACTTTGCATTTGAAGATTTGACTCCCAAGCTGTGAAAGGGAATATTACGTTCAGCACTGAAACACTCTCAAAACTCCGAACCAAACACTTAGCCAGTTATGTATTCTTGGGCTTTTTTCTTAATACTATATTTTTTGTTGTTTTGTTTTGCTTTTTAATCTTTAAAGTGGGAATAATAACATCTGTTTCAAAAGATTATTTCACAAATTTAATGAAACAGAAATGATGTTTTCTTAAAAAAAAAAAAAGAATATAGAAAGTTTGTTGATATTTGTTAAGTTTGGTGAAATTTTTCTTTTAGCCGGTTTTATTTTTCTGTTATTTTGCATCCATGGAAGTGATTGTTATTAGTAATAAACTTCACAGTTTGCATCATGAAAATGAATGAAGTAAGACTTTCTCAATGTTTTATCATGGAATATTTTTATTAACTGCAAAAATATCTTTTAACTATAGCACACATTTTAAATATATATTTTTAACCATTGTGCATGCTACTTAGAATCACCTAACATTAAAAGCTTGAAAAAATTTTAGAGATCATCTAACTCATCTTGGCAATTTTTTGCCTAAGTATTATATTTATAAATTGGATTTGATATTATGTTTCATATTATGTAATTGTCCAGATATATATGAACGATTCATAATAATGTCTATAATGGAATTCAAACCATAGGTGCTGGAATAAGTGTATTTATAAGATATTGAGATATTCAAAATAAGATATCTGCTCTGAAATCACTGTAAGATTCTGACATTTCTGTTTTCTTCAGAATAAGAGAATATCTGTATATAGTAAGAGCAAACCCGATAAGTTAATATTTGCTTCTTTTATTAGGACCACAAAATCAGTCATAATTTGAAACTCACATTTTCCCAGAATATTTTTTACTGTTGAGACTGGTTGACAAATAGAAAATTGCTATTTTTTATGCATTCTTGATATACAAATTATTTAAAAGGCTCTCTAGGTCTCCCATCTGCCGGGTCTCATTTGTTAAAAAAGCAAAACTATTTAAGAAGGGTAGAAGCTGAGAAAACATTATATCCACTCTGCAGTGTCTTATACCAAAACTTCTAGCATAGTTCTTCTATCAAAGTTGTTATAAATTTTAGATACTAGGAGGGGAAAAGAAATACAGTAAGGACTATCTTCAAGAGCATCAAGGTGTGTGTTTAATGTGTAAGAGAAAGAAAACTAACATTTGCTTAGTGCCAACCAGTTGCTCGGCATTTATTTGTTACAGCTTTTTTGAGGAATGTGTGTCCTATATTCCACTCACGCTTCTGGCATTTATTTTTAAAGAAAACTCTCATTATGATCCAAAAATGTAAAAGTTGACCTACTCTAAAATTAACAACTAGAATGACTAAAGATGGCGACAAAATCCTGAATACTGTTACTGTTTCTGCAAAGTCCTACTCCATTAGATAACTGAAATTCAGAAAAAAATATATAAAGTGCTATGGTATAAACATTAAAAGAAAAATCAAACGGCAAGTCATTAATGATTTGTAAAATCATAGGTAGAGAAGTCAATTCGTTAGAAAACAAGTATGTTACATTCAGGTTAAATCATCACCTCCCATTTTCCACTTATACACACATCTACAGAAAATTCTTTTACTATTGTTTTCAAGGAGGCAATTTTATGTACATTTTATTAGCCTATATTTCATGACTCCAAATTCATCTCCTCTTCAGGCTTCATATTCTTAAATGCCTTGTGGTAAACAGACCTTACTAGAAGAAAATTAAAGTATTCTGATAAAGGAAGGACCTTACTAACGAGATAGGAGAATATACAACAGTTTTGAGATGAATGTGCAATATATGTGTGATTCTGTACACACATACACACATTTTTTGGGGGGGGGATAATTAGGCATAAATAGTACATATATGTACTAATTCCTAAATAAAATTTAGATGAGTTTGACTATATCTGTTATTAATTTTAAATATTTGGTTTTAGTATTTAAAATTTTTAATTATTTACTAATTATTATTTTTACTCAATACTTGTTAAGTGCCTGCTGCTAAGTACTATATATTTTACATAATACATTTTACATCATTTAATCCTCACACAGACTTTTGAAGTAGACACTATTATTACTACGATTCTACAAATAAGAACACTAAAGCACAGAGAGTTTTAGTGATTTGCTCAAGGTCGCACAGCCCATAATTGGCAGAGGTAAATGTGAACCCAAGTATTTATGTGTTTACGTATTAATTATTACACTACACTGTCACTTGGAAGCATTGTAATGCATAGTTCCTGCCCATAAGAAGCTTAGTTCCTCCTTGAGGGAGAAGACATATAAATAAATATATTAATTAAAGAGCAATTCAAGAAATTAACTGATATATTATAAGGCTTAAAGTCCCTTCTCTATTGACATTAAACCTAAGACCATGACACTCTTACTAAAAATTTCTAGTTCTCAAGTCATAAGTATGGCTTGGGTGAAATCATTAGAGCTACATTAGCATTTGGGAGACAATGGAGGTCTCCACAAACCCAGTAATAGCTCCCATTAGTGATGTAAAATTCCCATCACTAATCATTTTTTTAAGAAATAGAAAGCAGAACTGTTTTCTACAAGAGTCCAAGATGACATTGGGAAAGACAGTCATGGCAGGGGTTAAAACATCTGACTTAAATATATTTGCCTTGGTGAGAACATTAGCCTGGTTTAGATGATCAGATTAGCTCACAGTCACCTTGGAAAACACAGAAGAGCAGAGAGACCTAAGGAGATGCATGGTTAGAGATAGAAAAATGTAGAACATGAAGCCTTGCAGGGCGAGCAGCATAATGGATGCACAATCTAGGTTTCTATCAAAAGTGAAGGTGAAGCAGAATTTCTACAGATCTTTCCCACTTAGCAGTTTTGCTTGGTTTCAGCCATCTAATAATAACACAGTATGTTCCAGATAGGCCTGAAGGATAGATAATTTGTTAAATTCCACTGTAGTCAAGTTAAAGAATTATTTTAATCAAGCACTTTCAGTATTTGATTCCCAGTCAGTTATTTATATTCCATGGCTAATCATGTTCGGATACAATAATGTCATTTTAAGTACAGCATCTTCTCTAAAACAGCTTCCTATTTTGTGTTTTCAAAAAGGAACATAGGCATTCATGTACAAGAGAGAAGAGTATTTATTTTAAATTGTACAATTACAAGAAAAAACTTGTCTTATTTTGAAAATTTCTCACTGGAGCTACTTCAATTCTCTATTTTTTGCATTTTTAATGGCCATGGAAAGATGTCATGTATGTCATACGTAGAGAGGTTAATTTTAATGTTTGGTTGTTTGACTTCTTTATTCTGTACTTAGGGAAACCAGTGTCAGAATATGGCATCTAAAACCTTTAATAACAATTAAAAAAAATGAAGACACATTTATCTGAACCTACTAAATAAAATGGAATACTTCTATTGAGCCTTTTTTCCCTGTCATTTATGCCTTTTATTTCTCAACAGAAAATAATAATTATTGAAGCTATTATTAGGACATCAGAACAACACAGACACTGATCAAGGAAATAACTGCCATTTGTATTATCTGCCATGCCGGGCCTTCCTGGCCTGTATTGTTTTTTTTTTCTTTGCAAAGAAAATGCAAGTATTTATTTTAATACTTTATTAGATTATTAGAATCTTCATGAGCCTCCATCAGGCTAAAAGTGGGGGACCACCCCAAGCACAGCCTCAATCTGTGGATCTATCTGGCCTGTATTTTTGTAGGACGTTCTATGGCTTCCCAGGAAAAGCAAAGAAATAACTAGTGAAGAATCAAAAAAAATGGACTAGTTAATCCTTCGGGATGCCTCATTTTTCTAACTTTAATTCTCAGAGGATAGACGGGAAACCCGGGGAAATCCAGAGGCTCCAAAACTTTAGAAATGAGTGAAAAGGCAGCTGCGTTGGCCCAGAGCACAGAAGGCGTGACTAGCATCCACATCGTTTAGATAATTCTTTACAAAAGTCAGAGCCAGGTGCTATGGACTGAGCTGTGTCCCCTAAAATTCATATGTTGATGACCTACCCCCAAATGTGATGGTATTTTGACACAGTTGTTCACGTTATTCATGGTTTTGCTTTCTGTAGTTTCAGTTACCTGCAGTGAGCTGCAGTCTAAAAATATTAATTGGAAAATTCCAGAAATAAACAATTCATAAGTTTTAAATTGCACACTGTTCTGAGTCCTGTGATGAAATCTGGTGCTATTTCACACCATCTCGCTCAGGATGTGAATCATCTCTTTGTCCAGTGTTCCCACGCTGTGTGTTCAATACAATATTTTGAGAAAGATCACATTCACATAACTCTTATTACAGTATACTGTTATAACTGTTCTATTTAATTATTAGTTATTGTTGTTAATTTCATACTATGCCTAATTTATGACTTTAGCATCATAGGTATGTATATATAGGAAAAAGCATAGTATGTATAGGGTTCGGTACTATTCGGGGTTTCAGGTATCCGCTGGGAGTATTGGAATATATCTCTTGCAGATAAGAGGAGACTACTGTAGTAATTAATAAGGAAGTAATTAATGGTTAAATGAGGTCATACGGGTAGGGCCTTGATCCATAGGATTAGTGTCCTTAAATAAGAAACACCAGAGAGCTCCCTCTCTCTCTACCATGTAGGAACACAGCGAAAGGTGGCCAGGAAGAGCTCAAAGGCTGTAGCATTCTGTTACAGCAGTGTAAGCAAAGATACCAGGAAACGATGTTTATAAGTGATTTTCGACAAGTAGAAAAACGGCAGAGAGTTTGAAAGACTAAAGTGATAGTTGTCAAAGATATGCCTTATACTAAGAAGGCTTTTTATATAAAACTTAGGCTATGTAATAACAGGACAAGAAGCAAATATTTAATTTTTAGAACTTGATCTTAAAGATTGCTGAAGCTGTAGAATTGAAAATTCAGATACTAGTCTTTGGAACATAGAATTAATTCTTTAATTCTTTTAAATGCTTGATATAAGTCCTTGAGTGAAATATCTCACTTTGTTGCACAAGTTTCCATAAAAAGCTCAATATAATCAATTCACTATGGGGTTTTTATTTTATTTTACAGACTCATATAGCACTTACTAGGTGTCAAGACCTAAGCACATTCCAAATACTAATTCAACTGATTTTAGGATACTGAAACAAATTTTGAAGATTAATTATTTGATGACAGGGGACAGTAATGGAAGTGTAGATCAAATATATCAATAGCTAATTACACTTGACTGTGTCTTCCTCTACAGAGTTTTCAAGCAATGCAAGTAAATATGCCTCATGTTTTAATATTTTTCTTCCAATTTCTGTCTCTGTTCACTAGCTCCTCTTAGTAGTAAACAGTGGCAAATGCCACCAGTTTTTGTACTCTAATTGAAATGGAGGCATTGGGTAAAGATGGACTCTGTTTTACTAAATAGACAACCCAGCTGACTTAATCTTAGTATTTGCCATACTGGAAGAGTTTTGTTCTTCATGCTATTCCAAGCCCAGGGAAATGCTTGGTACATAGTCTATTCTTAATATATACTAATTCCATCAATAAATGTCTCCCCCCGCCCCCACCCAAAGTAATTGGATTATCTTTTCAGTAAAGGGATTCTTTGGAATTCGTGAAGGTCTTTTTGAAAAATGAAATTTTCTTTTTTCTCCACTAGATTGCCAACTAGGTTGGCAAGAAGCCAGCTGTGCTTCTGTTTCTTTAAGATTTGAAATAAAATTATTTTTTTAAATCTTATGTATATTCATTGCAAATAGTAGCTACCCCGGATTAACTATCTACTTTTGCCAAAAAAAAAAAAGAGAGAGGCTTGAGTCTCTACATTTCTGGGGACTAAACAGCTATTGAAGTTCCCAAATAAGTTTCCATTACTTTGCTCTGTAGTGTTCTTCTAAAGATACCATAATATTCATTTTTCTTAGATGAAAAAATTATTTTTAAATAATTGCAAAAGCTTCTTTTATCCAAAATATTTACTTATTTCCATTTTCCCTAATTTCCATTTTTTTCTTGTTCATTACTAAATCTATTCAAATTTAATTTAATATTCTTTATTACATTTATAGTTATATGAATATTAAAGAATGGATTGGTATTCTCTTGACAGCCTTTTCCTAAAAGTCTTTATTTTTTTTTTCCAATTGAATAAAATAAAATTGGCAAAGACCTTTGACCTCCAGTGATTCTGGGTGGGGTTTGTAATGAGGGAAACAATAAAACTTTGAGACCAGTCCAAATGTTGGGAGCAAAAGTGAAAGCAAAAAAGGATTCAAGACAGAATTCCAGTTTACCATTCTGTGCCTTGGGAAAGCACCAAACAGACCAAATTCAAGGCTAAAGTGTAAATCAGTAAAAAAGTGAAGTGGAATCAGACATAAACTGGATGATATCACTGCTTAAAACTGACTTTGAAAGAGACAAAGAGGAAAAGTAGAGGAAGAACAAAGAGTAAAAAGATATTATATTCACTGTTAGTATATCTTCCCTGACTTGAAAATTACAAGAAAATCACAACCATATGGACCCCTTAGGGAATATGTTAGTATGTATAATAATAGTTTTCCAGATAATGGAAAGATAAATAAGCAAATAAATTTGATTTCTATGTGAACTAAGAATAAATAGGTTCAAGGAGTCTCCTATGAATAAAGTCATCAAGGAGATTCCTATGAATAAAACTCCATGTGCTTTTGGTAGATTTTGTAACATATTCTATAGCTTCTCAAAATTCTATAGGCATAATTACTGGTTGTTTTCATTTCTGTGGTGGGTAACATCACCAAAACTTGCTATGAAATGGAGAGATGTTATGGCGTTAGGTTTTGAATAGGACTGTCCCTTAGATCATCGCTCTTTAATGCCAATCGAAGTTGGATTTGTCAAATCATCTTGAGAAAAAATTACTCTTCCATAGTAATTTAATAGTGTAATTATTTAAGATTTAGCTTTAAATCAAACCTAAATTCAAATCCTTGCTCCGCTACTTACTACGTGAACTTAGGCAAGTAACTTAAATTCTGTCCTTCAGTTTCCTCCGTTGCAAAACAGCATTAACAATTGTCCCTGCCACATTAGCTATGTGAGAATTAAATGATTTTGACAAAGTAATTGGAACAATGCCTAACACATAGTAAGTGTTCACAATAAGTACATAATTAATCTTAAAGAAAACATTTTATTACATGAAATATCGACATAAGATTTTATAAAGAAACAGTAATAAAAAAAGAAAATCAATGATAAATAATGTTCACTAAGTACACAGACCTCAATCAAAGGCTTTTTAAGTAAAAAAAGACAACTGTGAATTATGTAAAATCCTTAGGTCAAAATATCTTTAATAACACAAATTTAAAATTATCCTTTTACAAAGCAGACAGAAACATGCTAAACACTTCATCACTTGATGATAACCCTTAACCTACATGGAACCTGGCAGCAAGAGAATATATATCTATTTATCCTAGAATTCATCTGTCATCATTACTTGTCTGTTCATCCTATAGGTTATATCAAATCTAATCCCTACAATGGAAGAAGCCAAAAGCCAAAGTTTGGAGGAAGACTTTGAAGGACAGGCCACACATACGGGTAAGCAAAGCTATAAAAGAGAAAAAAAATTTTTTTAAACCCTAGTTATTAAATAAAAATTAAATCTGGAAGGATCTTTAATGTTCTTATTGCCACTGTTCAGTATGAAATTTAACTTATACCTTTGAATGGTTTGATAAAATCATCTAAAAACATTTGAGTGGGTAAATTAATGTGAGATCAAATACTTTAAAACCAATTATGTTTAGATGTCAAAGAATGAGAAATTGAATTAGAAACGCTACTTACTGAGAATTTCTTTCTGACCAATTATCATAAGACCTTTATATCTACACTATAATTAAGCCACTATCCTTTCTCTAAATTTCTCCCACTATGAACTTCCCTTGCAGTTGTAAACAATAGTAGACCAAAAGATAAATAAATAAATTGAGTTATTTATTTTAATTTTTTGATTCCTAAAAAATAATGGTAATGGTAAAAATAATGGGAATGGGAATGGTAAATTAAATGGATTTCAATATTCCTCCAGAAAAAATCCAAGATTTAATGTTCGTCAAGGAAAAAATGTGGAAGCAACAATTTACATCAGTAAGAAATTGTTAAAGTAAATTAATATTTACACAATGGAATACCTCACTCCATTTTTTTTAAAAAAGGAAGAATTTATGTATGTACGTGAAAAAAAATCTGAGATATATTATGAAGTAAAAAAAAGCAAGGTGAGAAAAAGTACATATAATAGTATTACCATTTGTAAAAATAAGAGGAGAAAAGATTCTCTTTTATACTCATAAATACATGCTATACATGTGCATATTTTGTATAAGAAAAAAATCTGGAAGACAAAGACTATACAAGGAAACAAAAAACATTGATTTCCTTAATATAATTAATATAAATAAATTTATTAAAATTATATGCTATATAAATAAAAAATAAGAAATATGTGGGAGAAAAAGAGAATACATCTACACATATAATACTAGATTAAAGGTATGAATATAGGCAAGTTTTAGTAAAGAATATTTAAAACTGAATATTTTCAAGAATTTAGACCTGCTTCCAAGTACTGTTATTATTTATTAGGGCAACTGAGCATCAGAATTCCAATTCCATCATCCTTGATTTAATTAATTTTTCTTAAGTCTGCTAATCCTATCCTTGCTATATTTGTAAGAGTCCTAGAATCTTAGAAGGAATTGGATGGTTATGTAGCAATTTTATTAAAGCAATTTTAGTCATCAATTGAGGTTAGGCTTCTCGCTGGTTGTCTTTTATGTGCTATTGTTATTGTTGTTTTCTGGATCTCGATAACATTTCAATTTGCTTCCCCAACAATCCTAGTTTCCTTTGTTATTAGTGTGGTGCCATTTTTAATTTATTGGTGAAGCTTCTTTCTTATATGATAAAAGTACTATTTTCTAAAATTCTTTTCCTCTCTATATTCTATTTTTTATCTTTACCCCAAAATTTTGCCAATAGTTCAAAGTCCATATTTTGTATTTTCATTAATGCAGATGTTTCAGAAAGATTCTTAGCCAAAACCAATTTAACAAGATTAATGTAAGAGAACATTTCTATGAGCAGGGCAGTCAGAAATTTCTAGTCTCAACAAGATGTCTGTTTCTGATACAGAAGATGACAAGTCTATCCCCAAGGCAACACTTATACAAATTTCATTTGTGTAAATAGTGCTGTTCAAAATAAAAAGGAAAACAATTTGTTTTAATTTTGTTCCAGGACCCAAAGGAGTAATAAATGATTGGAGAAAGTTTAAATTAGAGAGTGAAGATAGTGACTCGGTCCCATCGAGTAAGAAGGAGATTCTCAGACAAATGTCTTCTCCTCAGAGTAGAGATGACAAAGACTCAAAAGAAAAAATCAGCAGAAAGGTAAGATAAGGAAAAAAATCAATAGTAAATAATTTATTTATTATAAATACTTATTATGATGTGTAAACATGCATCCTCATTTTTTCTAAAGCAGCATTTTTTTTTTAATCTCACTTATTTACTTTTATAATGTATGTCTATGTGCATAAAGAGATACTTTAAAAGATGATTTCTATGATTTTAATGGAGATTATCTCAGAGTATCAGAGTGATGACATTACTTCCTTTAGCTTTTAGGTCATTTTTGAATCTTTATAACTAGCATGTATCATTTATATAACAACAACAATAACATACATTTAAAAAAAAAAACAAAGTGATTTTCATTGTGGAGAAAAATCACTTTATCTCCAAGCCAGAATGTATGAGTTATTGTATATTGATTCTTTAAAAAATGACAGTGCTTCAGAAATATACTTGGTTCTAGGCTTCTGGCATTGTAAAAATCTTCAAGTCTAAGATCTTATTTTAGAATTTTGGTTCTTTCACTGAGTCAGTATGTAATGGGGATGAGACAAAGTTTCCCATCTGAGGAATTGTGAAAGCTATTTGAAACATGTAAAATGCTATACAAGTCTGAGACTTGATAATTATTAGAAATGTACCTGAAATCTTAACCATCTATATGCCTGAATATGTAAATGGAACAAGTTCTCATAAGAATACTCAAATACCTATATAAATCAATGTTTGTGTGGTTCAGTCTGTTAAATGAACAGAATTATGGTAGCAACTTAAAGATTATATAAAACATTTAACAATTTTTAGGGTTGAAACAAATTAAGTTGGGACAATAATCTTAAAGTAGAAAAAAAATAAGAAAAAGAATGAGGACATTAGAAAAACAAATATAAAAGGCAGAAACAAGAGAATGGAGTAATGAAAGCATTGGATGCTTCTACTCAACCTGAATCTCAGTATCTTCTGTAAAATTCTGTAATCACACCTACCTCATAGGTTCACTGTGAGAATTAAGTAAAATAATCTACGTAAAGTGCCTGAGACATAGATTTTTTCATAAATATCAGTTTCTTGCCTTCTCAATTCTCCTGTACTCTAAATATTGTCCAAAGTTGCTGTTTGAGAGGCTACTTTAGATGATAATAAGGCAGCAGTAGCTGATCCCCCTTGGGGACAGTCCAACTTCTGTGGTTTTTGGGCTGTTCCACATCTCTTAATCACATTATGTCCATTATGGCTCCTTTACATCTTTCTTTTTAATTTTTAGTGTGTTTGGGGATGGAGAAGTGTTTAACATTCTATTGAATAAGTTAATAGTAATGTAGCTATTGTGAAAAGCTATGCAGGTAATTTTATATTCCAGCCACAGTGAAAAGAACCTGTCTTGGAAGATGAAAGTTAGGTCATTTCTCACTTTAGCCTAAACCAGAGGATAAGAATTGCCTGGAGGGCTTGTCTAAATATGGCTCACTCAGCCTCACCCTTACAGGTTCTGATTTGGTAGATCTGGGGTGGTGCCCCAAAATTTGCTTTCCCAGAACTTCTCAGGTGATGCTGTTACTGCTGGTTCAGCACTAACCTCTTGGCTAATCTGATGAACTCCAAACAGTGTTAAAAGTTGTCTTACTTGAATCCCATTCTACATATTCTGAAAAATCTGTAAGCGATAAGACGTAATCTTTTTAACAACTTTTGTAGAGGAGACACTAAAGTCCACAGGCATATGTTGAAGAAACATTTAAGAGTGTGTGTGCGTGTGTGTGTGTGTGTGTGTGTGTGTGTGTGTGTTTATGGAAGTCGCTCCAGAGTAGACCTTGCTGGGTTGTTTTTTTTTTTTTTCCACGCAAAGTGACGGTTAGTTAAGTGACACATTTCTGACTTGAGATTATGAGCATCTCATGGCTAAACTCTTTTCAGCAATACTTATGCATGTGTTTATATCATGTAATAATTACTGAACCCCTATTATGTGCCAGATACTTTAGCAGATATTGAGGAGTAGTAAATGAGACAAATAAAATTCCTGCCCCTACGTAACCTATCAGTTAGACAAATTAATATTAAACAATTAAACAAATAAATATGGAACACAATATCAGGTGGCATTTACTGCTATGAAGACAAAATAAACCCATTAAGGAATAGCAAGTGTGGGGCAGGGACGCTTTTAGGTGGAATAAATCAAAGAAGGTAACATTCGAACAAAGGCTTGAATGAGATTAAGAAGACCACATTAGGGCATGGTCTTGGGGAAACTGCAAATGGAAATTCTTTGAGTTGAGGGTGGGTTTGGAGTGTCTAAGGAATAGAAATTTCTGTCTGACTGATCTCTACCATTCTTTTGTCCATTCCCAGATGAGCATTCAAGAATATGAACTGATCCACAAAGACAAAGAGGATGAAAATTGCCTTCGTAAATACCGTAGACAGTGTATGCAGGATATGCACCAGAAGCTGAGTTTTGGGCCTAGATATGGGTTTGTGTATGAGCTGGAAACTGGGGAGCAATTCCTGGAAACCATTGAAAAGGAGCAGAAAATCACCACAATCGTTGTTCACATTTATGAAGATGGCATTAAGGGCTGCGATGTTCTAAACAGTAGCTTAACATGCCTTGCAGCCGAATACCCTATGGTCAAGTTTTGCAAAATAAAAGCTTCTAATACAGGTGCTGGGGACCGCTTTTCCTCAGATGTCCTCCCTACACTGCTTGTCTATAAAGGTGGGGAACTGATAAGCAATTTCATTAGCGTTGCTGAACAGTTTGCTGAAGAGTTTTTTGCTGGGGACGTGGAGTCCTTTCTAAATGAGTATGGGTTACTACCTGAAAGAGAGATGCATGCCCTAGAGCAGACCGACATGGAAGAAGATATTGAATAAAGATTCACTATGTCAGTATCTCATAATTCTTTAAACATTGAACGCTGATTTGGTAGTATCCATATTCCTTTAGAGACACCAAGTAAGAATGTGGCTATTCCAATTTGGGGAAAAAAAAAAAAACAGATTGACACTAAAGTTATATGATTAGCATTTCTTAGTATTAGTTACTCAAATTGATATAATGCTTTACTATCACACATTGTAGTCTTCATTAACTGTTAGTGGACAAAGGGGATATGGATGATATTGTGACAGTTTTGAAAAATCCCTTTCAAGTTATGTATTGGCTTTTTTACTGGTTTTTTTTCTGCAGTGTTTTTTGGGGGGGTTTCAAAATACATTATTAATTATAATTTTGCCTATGTAATAAGAATAAAGTCTCATGAGGAAATAAATTTTCTATTCGAAGTCTATTCTTTCTCAAGTATTACAATATCAGGGCCCTAAAAATATTATATGACCTAAAATACAAAAAAAAATATCATTCAGTAAGATATCTTATATTCCAACTGAACCAATGCACAAGAAACTGAGAAACACTGTACCACATTAAATTTCTGGGAAAAAAAATGAAAAAGGAGTATTTGTTAAAAATAAAATTTCAGAAGTTAACCTTATCTAGGGAAGAAAAGCAGAGTGGAAGCTAGGTCTTTTTATTCTTTGGACAAATAATATTTAGTAGTAATAACGACTATCATTCATCGATTGCATATTATGGGCCAGTATTTCATACATAACATCTCTAATTCTTAACTACAATTCTGTAAGTAGATAATAGTACTTCCATTTTATAAATGACAAAACTGAAATTCAGAGAAGTGACATGGAAGTTCTATTTCTCTTGAAAATACTTGGAACACTCTGCTCCTTCAAAAACACATAAAAATGCTAAATAAATTTTGAAAAATATTTTGAAATATGCAAATGAGCTGAAAAGTAAGATAAAAAAAACTTCTGGGTGTCTGAGTAGCAAATAATGGTAAGAGTTAAAGTGATATGGTCTATAATTGAAGACACGGTGCTTGATAAGTAACGAAAAATAGGATCCCTGTAGGAAATTGAGCTTAAAACAGGTTTGCCTATTTTCCCCTGGTGGACCAATGTGAAACTAGACATTTGTCACAAGTGCTAGTCTCCACTCTCCTAAATGACATTTTTATAGCTTCTCTTCTTTCCTTAAACCTTTTGTGTTCTTTTCTTCTGGTCTAAACCCTTCAGTTTGCTCATACTTCATTGAGAAAATAGAAGGTAGCAGATGAGCCCTGCCTCGTGTTCCATCACCAATCTAAAATGCACACCTGCACACAAGCAGTTTCCACTGACATTACAATGGAAGCAGTGTTCATGCAGCTAAGGCCAGCTGATCAAATCATGCTGTGGATCCTATCCTTTTCACCCACACCATAATTTTTCTCCTGAAATTAGTTTTCCTCTCTGCTTCCCATCATCTAGTTCTCCCTTTCTCTACGTTGTGTTATTCATATCGGCTTATAAATGTTTTTAAATTGCCCACTATTTTAAATATGCTCACCTATAATTTAAAATTTCCAGCTATCCCTCATTTTCCTGCTTTCCTTTACAATCATTTCTCTTGAAAGAAGTGTCTAAGGTCATCATCTTTAATTCTCGTTTCCAATTTTTTTCACCCCACTTCAATCAGGCCTTTGTCCCATGCACTCTAATTACAGTTATAGGCAACTTGTCAAACTTAGTGACCAATTCTCATTCCTCATTTCATCGTACGTCCTAGCAGCATGTGTAAGAGCTGACCATCTCCCTCTTTCTGATTCACTTTTTTTGGCTTCTTTGAAAACACACTCTGCTTGTTTGCCTTCTATCTACTGACTATTTCTTCTAAGTTTCCTACACTGACGTCTTCTCTAAACACTCACCCTAGGTAACCCCCTCCTATCCATAGCACTTAATACCATTTATGTTCAGACTGCTCTCAAATTCACATTACCAGTTTTACCTCTCTCCTATGCTCCCAAATCCTAGATCTCAATTGCAGGAAGGAAGGAAAGGAGGAAAAGAATGGGAAAGAAAAAGGTCTGTAATTGTACTGGATATTGGTGATAAAAGAAGGGTAAGACAGAATGTCTAACTATGACCAGTTTACATTGACCAGTTCCTAACATATAGTCGCTGCAATAGGTACTATTTCTGCGCATCCATCTAAAATTCCATCTTCTATTCCCTTTATAAGGGGAAGGCATTTTAAATAGCCTATGGCCTATTTCTAAGTAGATGGATACCAGATATATCACAAGGAGGAAAAATGCTAGTAGGGAAATATGCAGGGTAATTATGTACAAAATAATGAGCTTTAAAAAAAGTAGTTCAACATGTTTTTTTTCTATTGAGTAATTGCTAAAAAATTTATTAATCTCTTACAGATTTCTCTGTTAGGAAATTACTGGATATAAAAGCCATAGCAAAAGACAGGATCTTTATACGAGATATTTATAATTTTAAAACTCCCTAGTGGAATAACTTTTGATTGACATTAAATCCACAGATTTGACAGAAAAAGTTGAAAATCACATGATACCATTTATATGTGGGATATAAACCTAAAAGCAACAAATGAACAGGACAAACAAACAGAGACTCATGGACATGGACTATAGACTAGTGGGTACCAGAGGATAAGGGATGGGGAAGGAGGGGGGAGGTAAACAGGGGCAAAAAATTAAATTATTTCTATAAATAAACAAACAAACAAACAAATAAATTGAATAAATAAATCCACAGATTTGAAGTAAATACTTAAAAAGATGATGGCAAGGCAATGAGAAAGAACAGTCAAACATACTCAAAAGATAAAAATATTTTAAGACTAATATACAAGTTCTTTTCAATCACTAGTCATTATTACTTGCAATATAGTACAGCTTTATTGGGCAGGGATAGAAAAGCATATCTAGACAGTGAAAGAAGGCTCTCGTTTATGGAAAAGAAGAATAAATGAGTGCTTTGAAAGATTCCTGTTCAATGAAAACTTTGCTCTTGTAAGAAATAATCTACCATGCATCAATTTAAAATAGAGAACTAGGAAGCTTAAGCAGAAATAAACCCAGGAATGTCTTTAACCCATAATTGCCAAACAAAAGTAACTAGGTGTCACCTATGTAGGGAGTAAATGATGATAGCAACCGTTCTCAAAATAAGCACTTGGTGACTAAGGGATGCCAGAGTGAAGCTTTGATGGTAAACTCATCAGGAAGAATAGGACAAAGGCAGGATTTGACTAGAATATTTGAAACTTGCTGCTGCAGAAATCCTGGATTGCAAACTCCTCGTGTAAACACTTAATCTGCTACTATATTAGGCAGGAGGAGAGGAAAAGCTCATTTTTGTCTCAGCAAAAGAATGATGTATTAAACGTAAAGGTTTAAAATGTCATAACATGTCTCATTAACAAACCACTCAAATAATACTTGAATAGACTTGAAAGAAAGGAAAG